ACGACGATGACGACGCCGACGACGACGACAACGACGACACCGACGACGACGACGTCAAGGACGCCGACCACGACGACGACGACGACGACGACGGCGGCGATGACGACGACGCCGACGCCGACTCGCCGAATACGACGACGACGACGCCGACGCCGACGACGAAGACGACGACGACGTCGCCATCGAAGACGACGACGAGGGAGGAGGGAGGACGACGACGGCGACAACGACGACAACGACAACGACGAGCGAGGAGGGAGCACGGCGACGACGCGAACGACGAAGAAGGAGGAAGGACGGCGACGCCGACGACGGCAACGACGAGGGAGGAGTGATGACGACGACGAGACGACGACGACAACGACGACGACGACGGCGACGAAATAGGAGGGACGACGACGAGACGCCGTCGACGGACGACGACGACGACGAGGGAGGAGGAGGAGGAACAACGACCACGGCGACAACGACGACAGAAACGACCACGACGCCAAAGAGGGCGACGACGGCGAACACGAGGAAAGACAGATGACGACGTAGGCGACGACGACGGCGACGACGCGGGAGGAGGGAGGACGGCGACGACGACGACGACGAAGCAAGAGCGCGCGCGCACGCTTTTGTTGAAAATCCGTGTCGCGAAACTTTGTGTTTTCGTAGGTTTTTTGGATTTACGATTTTGAAATGCTTCCGAGACCGATGGGTTTTGAAGGATTTCCGGCATGCGCGCGCGACGACGCGCGCGTCTGCACTGCGTCCCATTTTTGCAGGGGGTTCTCGCGACGGCACACGCGCAAGGGCGTTCGACAGATTTCGACATGTGCGCGCGCGAAGCCCGTGTGGTAGCATGTTGTAAAATCTTGAAGAACCTATGGTTGTCTTAAGATTTCGCAAGAGCTCGCGCGGAAGCTTTTTTAGCAAATCAGCGTTGCGAAACCCTATGTTTTTTCTTGTTTTTTTTGGAAACTCGATTGCGAAATCCTTCCCGCACCGATGGTTTTTGAAGGATTTCGGCATTCGCGCGCGAAGACGCGCGCGTGCGCACTTCGTATTTTTTTACAAGGGATTCGTGAAAAAGTGCTGTGTTAGAACAAACAATGTCACCGCATAGTGTTTTTTCACCAGGGAACCCCAGGGGGGGAAACCCAGTTGGCCTGGGACATTGGCATTTCATATTTAGGATGGACATGTGGTCAGAATCATTTGTGATTTACGTAGGACGCGGGGGGGGGCGATAACGCCGGGGGGGGGCAGAGTCTATTTCTGTTTAAGGGAGAATCTACGCAGTCCAATGTATGGGGTTCTCGTGGGTGTCACGGTGGTCCTCGTGAAAGCTCATTCGGGACCTTTGAGGGTAAGGGTTGCCATGGCAATTCTCGGAGTGTTTCCTGCACAGTTGCGGGTTTCGTGTCGGCATGTTCTTCGGGCGCGCTTGGCCATCGAGCCTACCGATGCCTTCAGCAGTGCCCCAAGGCACTCTCGAGACTCGATCGGCCCCGCGCGGGTAGACAAACGACCGACGCAAGACGCGCGCAATGGTGATGTGGTTCTGGCAGTGGGGATGGCCCTTTTCAAAATGACTTGGAAACCAGCGCTGCTTTGTACGCAACCAGCAATGCGCAAGGTACCGAAATTGTGGGCGCAGCCAGGTCGGTAACGATTTAGGGTTCAACTCGGCCATGCGTAATGCAACTCCGCTCGCATGCATTATGCGCTGCACTATTTGTGCATGTGCACGCGCCTGTAGTAAAACTCTGAAGCGCAATCCAATGCGTATCGTTTTAATTGTAAGTTGTTGTTTGATGGTTTCGGTATTGCTTGGGCTCATTATCTTGGTAACGCTGGAAAACGCGGTGGGTATGCTTGGTGCATGGTGAGGCGCTTTGAGGTCGGAGGGCGGTTCTCTGAGACACACCAGAACATAATCCTGGGCCAGAGAATCGCGAAGTCGTTCGCCCAGCCCCGCCCCCACCGTGGGCGTTTCCCAGCCATTCCCGGCTTCGTCGCTGCCGTGCGGCCCCGCTTCGGGGAAACGCTCGTCAGGGCGATGGGCAATTCCCGGCAGGTCAGCGCGCCCCGTCCAACGTGCTGGCCCTTCCAATGATTGGCGCACCTTCAGAGGCGGAGGAGGTTCAGGAGGCCGCGGGCTCCGACGCTGGAGTGGCGGCGACAACCTGCGACGCGGGTGGCGCCCAGGACGATGTGCTGCTCGACTTGGACCCCGACGCAGCCTGGGCCCAGACCAGGCTGCTCGACTGCGCGCGGCCCGGGCGGCGCGGCTGCGCCGTGTCGCCTTTGAGCATGAGGTTTCGGCTTGACCGACGCGCATGGCAGGCCCATCTTGAAGTCCGCTGCCGCGCCGGCAGGGATCAGATTCGCTGCGCCGTGCGTGCGGCGCCAGCGGGGCCCCGTCAGCGCGGCTGCTGGCAGGATGCGTTGTGCGCCCCTGGCGTGGCGGGCCGCCTGGTTCGCCCGACTTTCTTCGCAGGAATAAGCGCCCGGCATGTTTTCCGGCCCCCGGGGCCGCGTGGCCTCCTCCCACGGAAGGCGCGGCCGTCACCTTCTAGCTCCGCGCTGTTCTGGCGCTCTGGCGAGTGCGCCTGCCCTCTGACGCGGGCGCGCCCCCCGGCGCGCGAGCGCCCGCGTAGAGTGCTCTCTCGCACCGCCCAGTTGCTTGATAGGCGGGGCGCGCCTTTGCGGGTGTGAGGGGGCGAGTGAGTTCGCGCAGTGGGTTTCCGCTAAGCCGGCCCATTGACGCGTGCTCGCGACTCGAGCCATTGCGGTGCCCTTGCTTGGGCAATGGCCCCCCGATGCGGCGCGCGCCTTGGTTCACAAGTGTTTGCGCCGATCGTTCCTGGCCGCGGGTTGCTCGCCATGGTAGCCCGCCCCCCAGCTCTGGTGCCCTTCGGTTCCCGCGCCCCCCCCCCTCCTCCAGGCGCGGCCTCCCCCCGCGCGCTTCCCTCCCAGGGGGGGCGCGCCGGACGGGCGGGCCTCCCGCCCTGCCGCCCCTGCGCGGGCCCAGCCGTGCAGTCGCCCCCGCGGCCAGGCCTGCCGGTCGCCCCGCCCAGCCGCGATGCGCGCGCCGGTCGGGCGGGGCGTTCTTTTTCCCATCTTTCCTTCGCCCGCCATCTCCACCCTTCCCTGCGCCCGCTCCGGTGCGGCCCCGCTGTCCTGCTCACGGAACTCGGCCACCTGGCGAGGGTGCGCCACTCGTTCTTGGCCGCTTCCCGGGGTGTTCGTGCTGGCCTTGCCTCCCCCGCGCTCTCAGCGCCCGCAGCCTTGACTAAAGTCTTTGGATGTGGTCGTGATGCCGCCCCGGGCCCACTGCCCCGGCACCGCGATCCTGGCTGGCCGCACAGTCGAGCTCGCCGTGAAATTATTACACCTGTCAATTCCCCCCCCCCCCGCTCCCTCGACCGCCCTGAGCCCCCCCCCCTTTTCCATCCAGACAATTCGTTGGTCGTGCGCCCCCGACTACTGCGGGCGCCCGTGTGGACTGCCTTTTGCCATGTTGCAACGACAATGTGTGTGTGTGTTTGTGTAAATGTGCGTGCGGTTGGCCCGGCTTCTGCGCGCATTGATTGTTGACGAGGCTGGTGCCGCCAAAAATTGTATGCGGATGTGGTCCTGCGGTCGGCGGCGGGTCACCTCCACGCCATCACCGCCCTGACGGCTTGGTGCTGCGAGATGCATGGGGTCCTAAGCGATCCCTACTGAGGACCCGGCCACGTGCGCACCGGCTCCGACCGCACTCCGCCGCTACGGTGCTCGCGAGGCCGCGATCGCCAGCATGTGTGTGTGTGTGTGTGCGTGTGTTTGTGTGTGTATCCGCCGAAGTTTCGCCTGGTGTTTCATGTTTTGGGATCAACGCTGGCAAACATCATTATACAAAGTGTGCCACCAATTCCTTCCGGCTCCCCTTCAGGTCTCCCGCTTTATGTGTGTGTGATTCGATGCGGCTATTGGAATCATATGTAAAATAATGTGTTTCTTCTCATTCCTATGTATTTTGGCCTTCCATCCAAGGGCTCTGGACCGACACCAGCGCGTTTATCTTCAGCGTCGGAGGATACCCCCGAACCCACGCCTCCTGCGAGGCAAATTGGGTGGGCGCGCAATCGTCGCCGTTCAGGTTGTTGCCCATCGACAGGCCCGTTTTCCTCCGAGTCAGTTCTGCTCTTTTGTGACGAACGGTAAGTTCGAGAGGCATCGACGCGGCGGCGATGTCGGCGCGCGCATATTCAACATTTAACACAACCCATGGCCGGTAACAGGCCCTAGGACTTGCAGCAGAAACGAACCCACGACGTGAAATACTTCGTGCTAGTGCGTTTCGCGCGGCGTCAGGAACCAGGGACGTCGTCAAGGCAATACCCTCAGGTACGTGCCAGCTTTGTACGCAGTCGTTTTGGCACAAGGTGAGCACAGTGCGCAACAACTGGAAACTGTGCCTTCAGTTTCCTCCTGTAACTTCCATCGGGGAGCCGAGCGTGCACGCTTCCGCTTTGCGACCCCCCGGTCCCAGCCCCCCCCCGGGCGCAAGCGGCGTTGGTGTCCAGGGCCCTTCTGCGCGGAACTGTAAAACGCACCGACGTGGCGTGCGCGCAGAAAAGAAAAGAAGAGGACGGGCTCAAGGGGCCACGCCCCGAGAACCGAGCCGCTGCGGCCTGCCGGGGGTCACTCTGAGAGGACGGACCATCCGTTGCTCAGGGTTGGCGGGGGCGACCCTTCGGCGGAGCGGTGGTGTGGGGCGAAGGGGTTGCGACCTTCTGAAGGAGGCACCCCGGCCTTGGAGAAGCCCTCCCGCCTTCTGAGATGCCTTCTGAGAGGCCTCTGTCAAGGGGCACGATCTTGGTAGGGTCTATGGAGCCCCTTGTCTTCTGAGCAGGATCCCCCCCTGGCCCCAACCCATTCCGCGCGCCACGGCCCGCCAGGGGAACCCAGAGGGGGATGGGGGAGGTCCAGCGAGCATGGCGTGAACGGTCACCCCATCCAGACGGATGCCCGCTCTGGTGCCCAACGCCGCGGCCGCCATGGCGACGGCCACGCAGCAGAGCATGCCGGGCACGCCCCCGCCACCACCCCCTGGGCTGGAGGATGGGATACCCGTTCCATGCCCCTGTGCCGGCTAGCATCCAGACACTCGGGCGTCGCGGACCAAACACGACGAGCGTTTGTTACTCCGCTTCGGGCCCTGGGAGCTCCACGAATCGATCTGGCTCCAGGAATCCCGAATAGCTCCAGTCGTGGTATGTCGCAAGACGTGTTTTTGTCACGACGTCTTGTGTCGGGGCCCATCCCATTCTTATTTCTCTTCTCTTTCCCCTTCTCTGAGGAGGGGAGGACCGTATTGGTACGTGTGTGTGTGTGTGATGGTATCCTCCCGTAGGACGTGCTGCCCAGCACCTTCAATCCGAAGCTCCGCGACGAGACGGGCAGCCAGTGCAGCACGGAGTACGGAGACTGCCAGGCAGGCAGCCACCACAGCACCAGTGCGCACTTGGACGCGGTTCCAGCAAATGTCCTAGGGCCAAGCAGTCCGCCTCCTGAGAGGGTTCCCCTCACTTGGCACTTTCGGGGAGCACAGCTTGTAAGCAGGCCGACCCCTGCCGCTGAGAAGCCTGGCGCCTTCTCACGAGGCTGGCCCAGCGTCGCCAGTGGTCATGGTGCCATAGGGCGAGGGCAGCCTGTCGAGGTCCCCACGGGCCCTCTGGGGTCCCCTGGAGTCCTCGGAGGTCTTCCGAGGCTTTCCGAGTTCCTCCGACGTCCCCCGGGGATCTTCGATGCCCAAAGTTGGCCCCATGACATCTGCCACCTCCGACTCTGGCTCCCCTCGGCCCGCCGCCAAGGAGGAGCAGCCGGACCGCTACACGCCCGGCCGCATTCTGTTGGACTCGATGGCGTGCAGAAGAGGGCAGGGGGATAGGGGCGGCTGCCTTCTAAGAAGGCACCCCGCCTCTCGGAAGCCATCCTGGAACTCAGAAGCGTTTCGCGAAGCATCCAAGAAGGGCCGATCCTTGCTAGGAAGCCTCTTGCCCTCTTACAGAGCCGACCCCCTGCTCGCGCTGCCAGAGGACATCGCCACGCCGCCGCCCCCGCCCCATCCGGCGGTGCTGACGCTGGCCGGCGCCGTGGAGTCGGGGGCGCCTGGCCTGCCCTCGGTGGGATCCGCGTGCCACCACTTGGGGCTGTGCAAGCCGTGCGACTTCCTGCACAGGCCCAGGGGTCCGGCGTACACTGGCAAGGCCCGGGCTTTGGCACAGGCGGTCACCAGGTGTGGTCCAAGCTTGCTTCAACAGGCCCTCAGGCTGGGGACAGCGCGGGGGGTCGAGACCGCCAGGTCTACCCCCCGGGGGGCCTGTTGAGGTCGGCCTGGGATACTTCTGGGGCGCTGTCTGTGCTCAGTCCCGAGCCTTGTCAGGGGTCCAGTTTTTTCTCCATGGAGGCTTCCCCCCAATCCCCCGCGTTGGGCTGGATACTGTTGGAAAAGCTTGAGCCGTCCCCAGATCGACCGAGGGGTGCAAGGCGGGCGCGAGCTGCAAGTTCTGTCACCTCTGTGGTCCAGACGAAAACAAGAGGCGCAAGGCGTTGAAGAAGGACGCGATGCGCACCATGCGGCAGTGGCAGTACCAGAAGGCGCGCCAGGCGGCAGCTGGTCAGTTCTGAGGGCCGCCTTGCGCTTTCCGGGCAGTGCTCCGTAGCCCTTGTTCCTTTTCGCAGCAGTCTGAACGGTACTGATGCGAGAGGGGTGAGAACCACAACATAGAGCCAAGCGGGATTCCAGAAGTGAGTTTTGCAGTCCTGTTACAAGCACGGGCTGTACATGATGCTCGCACTTCCGAGTATGAACTTGGTTGGCTTGGGCATCTGTTCTCTTCCTGGATCACGTGTCGAATTATCACTCCTGGTACCAGCGGCCACATGAGTCTGCAAGGAAGCGACGACGAGCCGTTACAGTACGAGATCTTTCATGTCTCGGGCACAAGAACCGATATTCCGTAGTTGGTAGCGGCCATGCAGCTACAAGTCGTTGCATGGTTCTTGTTACTGAGTGCGCAGGTCTCATGGCTTATTCAAAAGGCTTTCGCCATTCCGCCGTCCCCCAGAATAGGAAATCTGGTGCTTCCGACTTCGTATGCGTTGTTTGCCGCGTCCTGGTGTGCTGCTTGCGCGTAGTTGTTTCTGTCTTGTCCCCCTCCTCGCATCTGTTGCGGAGGCTCATTTGGGGGCCTCTTGGAGGCCTCGATCATTTTCAGGGCTCCTGGGTGCTTTTGTTGAGCCCTCCGAGGGCTACTTGGAGGTTTCTTCGGGGGGCATCTTGGTGGCGTATTGGGCGTTTTGGGGGCCATCTTGTTGGGGATTACTCCCAGGGTCTCTCTGGCTCTCTTGACAGACTTTTTGGCTGTTTTCGGGTCCTTCTGGACAGTCCCTGGACTCTCCTGAGCCATCTCTGGGCCCTCTTGGGGGCATCTTCGGCTGTCTTGGCCCAATTTGGGGGGCTTCTCGGCCGTCTCGGTGTTCAAAACCTTTTAAAAAGGCGACAGCGCGACAAACATTCCGAAACCATGCGGAAGTCGATGCTTGTTGCCTCTTGAGGCCGTTTTGTGTGTCCTCTTGGGCCTCTTTGAGTGTTTTCTGGGCCTCTTGGGCCGTCCTGAGGCCATCCTGGATGTTCCTGAGGCCTCTCCAGTGCGTTGGAGCCCTTTGAGCCATCTTAGATCTTAGAGGTAATCCTTGACATCTGGAAGGCCAAGGTGGGTGGATTTGAAGTGTCCGAGGGCCATGGAGGTGCACCGGGGAGCTCGTCTACACCCTCGCCTGCTAAAGTAATTTTGGACACTAGGGGAGGGGGAATGGAGTAGGGAAGCAGTTCTCACGCTTTCACCCCGGTCTCCCCAAGCGGGGGTCGGCGGATTCTCTGAGCACGTAGAACATTTCTTAGGTGTCGGATTGAATCAAGGTTCCTCCCTCCCAGCCTTGTAATCGTCCGCGTCAGCGGGCTGAGCGGGTGGAGTTTACGTCCTAACACAACGCTTCGGCCGCGCAGACCTATCCATTCTGCCCCGCACTTATAAGTTTCCCTCCACCAGTGGCGTCTTCCTGGTTGCCAGCTGTGTTCAACTTCTGTTCGTTTTGGCACACTTTGGACGTGCCCCTGATGGTTGTCGGGCATTTGTGCGGGGCGCAGGTCCTAGCTTCGAGTTTACCCCATTCTGCGTTCGCGCTGTGGCAGAGGGAGCTTAGGCGCGCGGGGAGGGGGTTTGCAAAGCGCTGGTAGGTGGCCAGGGAAAAAACTTTGATTGCGGTGTCACCTGTGGAACCGGCGATGTGTTCCATCGTCTCTCCAGTGTTTCCACATTGGGTCTTGCGTAACATCTTTTACGTTCGCGGCGCTCGCGGGAAATTCACAAGGCAGTCAACAGAAATGTCTCACATTTGCATCATCGTACTTTCATTCATCACTCCGTGGTATGCTGTACAGATGTGCCAAAGTATAATCGACTTCGAATGACATCGAACAACAGAGCCCCATCTGTCGGATCTTCAGGGGCGGTAGCTGGGATCCAGCCCTGATCCTCCGATCTCCTTTCCGCGCGTGCTCGCTCGAGGACGGTCCCGTCTGTGGGATCTTTAGGCAGCGTCGCCCGCATCTGGCCCTGATCCTCGGATCCGCATTCCGCGTACGTGCCTGCTCGAGGATGGTGCCTCCTGTCGGATCCTCAGGAGTGTCGTTAGGATCCGGCATTTGTCCTCCTATCCACGTTCCGCGAGTGCCCGTGCGAAGCCTGCGCTTCCTGGCTCCGACCACCGGATCGCCCCGCGACTGCCTCAGGCGCATTCCGCGTGCGTCGGCTCAAGGACGGCGCCTCCCGAAGGCAAGCAATTCAGGGCCAAACGACTGTGATTCCCCAGGATTGCCCCTTGTGCATTCCGTGCGTTGTGGCTGGAGGATAGCGCGTTCGGGGGCTGGACGCTGGTGCGCCCCAGGAAAGTCAAGGGTGCATCTTGTGCGCGCCAGCTCGAGGTGTGGGCGCTCCGTGGCCAGAGGTGCGTCGCAGGGCCGTCTCAAGCGCAGTTTGAGCGTGCCGGCTCGAGTAACCGCATGCCGATGATAATAAAGGGACCCCCCCCCCTTCAGTGTTTAGAGTTGATTATCGTCGCCCTATACAAAATTCAAATTGGGCGGCGAGCGCTGAGGCCGAACTTCATTATCACCTCGAAGCGCTATGTTGAGATAGCAACATCAAGCGATGTTGCTATCCCCGCGCGCGCCTGAACTTTTTTATCTCTGGGGTTGATTATCCATGGAAAGGGGAGCACATGAGCTACCCTACATGAGCACTTTAAAAAATCAATTTTCATAAAGCGTTTGCAAATTAAATCTGATAGATTTGGAATTTTCCATTTTCCCGTTCTTCTTCTCTTCTTCTTCTTCTCTTCTTCTCTTCTTTTTATTATTATACTTTCCTCTTCTTCTTTTATATTTCTATCTGTCCTCACGCTCGCCTGAACTTTTTTATCCCTGGGGTTGATTATCCATGGAAAATGAAGCACATGAGCTACCCTACACGAGCACTTAAAAAATCAATTTTCATAAAGCGTTTGTACATTAAAATTGGTAGATTTGGAACTTTAGATTTTTCCTTTCTTCGTCCTCTTCTTATTATCCTCTTCTTCTTCTTTCTTATTATTCTTCTACTGTATTCTTCTTCTTTCATATTTCTCTCTGTCCCCACGCTCGCCTGAACTGTTTTATCTCTGGGGTTGATTATCCATGGAAATTGAGGCACATGAGCTACCCTACACGAGCACTTACAAACAACAATTTTCATAAAGCGTTTTTAAATAAAACCTAATATATTTGAAACTCGAGATTTTTTCTTCTCTTCGTCCTTCTCCTCCTCCTCCTATCATTTCTTTTATTCTATTATTTATTATTTTTTTATTTTTATTTTTTATATATAGCTTCCTCCATTCCAGCGAGATAAGCCATTGTTGAGGATATTTCTATGAAAACTAAACGCCAAGGATGTCTCAAAACGTGCTCGGCTTGGTCTCCTCTTGATCATCTCTTACTTCGAGATTATGCTGAGGTCTGCTGGGCTACTTTTATTATCTCTCCCTGAACCCCGAACTTTATTATCCCCTAGTGTTTATTCTCACGGGCATGAGGTTATGCTGCGTTTTGGGGGTGCGTCCCAGGACTGTCCTAGGTGCATTTCGCGCGCGGGACAGGTCGAGGATGGCGCGTCCGGGAGCCAGGGTGCATTTTCTTCTCGTCCAATTCCCCTGTTCGCTTCCGTCCTTCCCCTTTTCCTCCATCGCCATTTCCATCCCCGCTTGTCACCCCGTTTGAGCACCTCTGGCTTCTCTCGCCCCCCATTCCCGTTTCTGTTCCTGCTCTTGGGTTTGCTTCGGTAGCGGGCGGGGGAGGCGGAGCGGGGTCGGATTGGGAGGAGGGGACGAGTCGCGAGAAGAATGGCTGGAGGGGGCATAAAGAGGAGGAGGATGAGGAGGAGGACGACGAAAAGGGGGAACAGGAGGAGGAAAGGGCAGGGTGACGACACCTGTCTCGTTCCCCCTCCTGCTCTTGCTCTTGCTCCTGGGGGCCTCTTAGGACCTGGAGGGGGTATCTGGGGGTGGAAGGCAGGAATTATCGGTTCGGGCTTCCCCTCTGGGGCCTCTTTTGCCGCTGTCTTGGGGCTTTCTTGGGCCGTCTTGGGCGCCTACTGGGCGGCTTCGGGGCTCTCTTGGGGCGTCTTGGGGCGGTGTTCGGAGGTCTCAGGGACCGTCTTGGGAACTGTTTGGAGCGTCTTGGACGTCGTGAAGGCCGAGAAGTCGGACATCCTAGAAATGCAAGGTTTCTCAAAGACGTTGGATGAGTTATGTCTTTTGGCGCCCTCTTGGGGGTGCTTTTGGAGGGTTCTTGGGACGTCTTGGCCACTTTTGCGGCCGTCTGGAGGCTTTTCTGGTCGTCTGGGCCCTATCGTTCAGCGATTGCGTGGGGCCTGCGGGGTCCTGAGTTGTACATTGGCCCCCAAAGAAAGCGGAGCAAAGCGGAGCGCAGGCGGAGCAGGGGTTCCCCCCCCACCCCTTCCCTGGCAGAGCCACCCTGGCAACCTCCCCAGCAGAGCTTCAGGCCGTAGCTGAGGCTGTTTGAACCTCACACGCTGTGTCGGCGGATTTTGGAGCCGCCCCGCATGACGAAGCGTCGGATGATTCCACCTCCCCACTTCACTATCAAATAAGACTATGCGAAGCACACGGCTTGAATATACACGTGCATGTGAATGAGCCCCTGTCGCATACTACACTCAGCCGAACAAGTGCGCGTATGTCGAAATCATTACAAACCCAATCGTTGTGGTTGAATGTTTTTCAAACACACGCTACCAACAATCATTGTTTCGTCAATGAAGCCCCCGGATTCTGTGAGAGGGCGCTTGCTGATGTGATACAACACTATCGCGTTACATGTTAGCATCCAGTCAGATGAAACGATGCGGGCCACGCGCGCATGCCGATATCATTTAACAGTTATCGCGCGTCATCAAATTCTGTCAACTATTACTGTGCGGGCCGCACCGCGCGTCCCGCCCCGCCCATGTCAAAATCAGCGCACAACCCTTGTTTTTGTTACATTTCAATGCGAAGGTCTGTCGGAGTATTCTGCACGTGCGCTTCCTCATCATCCTCATCA